CACTTCACAAAAATATACTGCACGAATAAATAAATAGCTTCAACAAGTATGTACATTCATACCAAAATAAAAATCTTAACCGATTTTACATTTAATTATGTCATAAAAATATACCGCATGAATAAATAAACAAATAAATGAAAAAAAGACGCACACAATAAATAAAAGAAACTCAAGTAATTTGTAGTTATGTCATAAATTTTAATTGAAATAGAATGCTTATACATTGACCTCACATATGTATAAGCATTCTTTTAAAGAGAGGAGGTGTAGTGTATCAGAAATGCATATCTACATAACAAAGTTCCACACGCGCCAAAAGTTCATTAAACTTATTTTGTCGGTAGTGCAAACAAGTTGTGGTTCACACGATATATTATGGAATGCTTGATTTCTGCTTACACTGCATTCTCCCGTAAGCTTATTTTGCTAAGCTAAGCCAATGTGCATTTGTATGTGCATAAGTGTCTGGCTGCACATACATATGTATGTTGTTAGTATTTATTATACATATGTATTATTNATAAACTAATTCAAGATGACATAATAGAACCATCTATGTCAGAATACAATAGCCCCATCCTATTAGTACCTAAAAAAATCANCCCGTAAGCTTATTTTGCTAAGCTAAGCCAATGTGCATTTGTATGTGCATAAGTGTCTGGCTGCACATACATATGTATGTTGTTAGTATTTATTATACATATGTATTATTGTAAATAAGAACACATAGAATTAAATAAGTTTAAATTTGTATAAATTAGGAAAGAATTAATGAATAAAGAACAATATTCGATAAGCGCTTGACTGCGCCACAACAAGTAGTCGTCTTATTACCTTGTCATCTTATTACAGTAATGAAAAAAGGCTGAAGTATTGCTATGCTCCTTCTTAGCAAAGCGTAATTTACCATTTTCGACAACCGAGCCTCTTACCAAATGTCTACAAGAAAAAAAAATAATTATTAAAAATCAACGCGTTTATTTAGCTCCTTTAAACTTGCACATTATTGAAATTTAATGGGCTATCAAACTGCATACTCAAAAAAATTCTAAAAAATCTGAATAAAAAGTAGAAAATCTAGATGAAAANTTCTAAAGAATTTTGTATCACAACAGACGCCAGCGGCTATGCCTGCGGCGCAGTACTTAGTCAAGAATATGAAGGCAAGCAATTACCAATTGCTTACGCGTCAAGATCATTCACAAAAGGTTAAATTAATAAAGCAATAATTGAAAAAGAATTGGCAGCAATTCACTGGGCCATTACTAATTTTAGACCATACGTTTATGGCAGGNCATTAAATAAACAAAAGAGAAACAGCCAAAATCGATCAAAATGTTGATGAATCAAAATGCTGATCACAAGTGTATGTATAAAATGATTTTTATATTAACGATCTCCAACCAGTTTACAATGAATTTTAAATGTGCTCTGTCGATATGCCATTTTAATATACCTTACGTACATATTTACCTTTGTATGCAATTAAAGTTTATTAAGAACAATTTGTGTACATTTGATTAAAANATTCTTTACCAGGCTTATGAAAGAAGCCGGCAATTTAGGACTTGTAAAATCACAGTTGTCCTTAGGAGACAAATTGTTTAATTATAATCGAGTAGATAAATTTATAAAANAAAAAATAATAAACATTAAATAAACAAAAGAGAAACAGCCAAAATCGATCAAAATGTTGATGAATCAAAATGCTGATCACAAGTGTATGTATAAAATGATTTTTATATTAACGATCTCCAACCAGTTTACAATGAATTTTAAATGTGCTCTGTCGATATGCCATTTTAATATACCTTACGTACATATTTACCTTTGTATGCAATTAAAGTTTATTAAGAACAATTTGTGTACATTTGATTAAAAAAAAAGACGTTTTTGGGTAGAAAATGACGTTTTTTCAGACCAAGAGGGACGTTTTCTCATGCCGAAGACCAGGCCACACTGNAATATGAAAAATGATATTAAAAAATATGTCAAGAAATGCATTAACTGTAAAAATAATTNAAATGACGTTTTTTCAGACCAAGAGGGACGTTTTCTCATGCCGAAGACCAGGCCACACTGCATAGAAGGTAACGAAACACAACCGATTCAAATCACTCGGAAACATTTTGCGAGCGGTAACTTGACTCTGCTAGCATTCGCGATAGCTAACGCAAACAAAACAATTGCATGCAGAGAAATGGGGAAACAAACGAAACATAAATTAGTGCTCACAACATAAAATGAAACGATTCGTTTAGTGATCCCCTAGTACGATTGGCAACACCTGCCAAAAGTGTGAACTCGCCTTGCCACTGATCTTCAAATAANCTAAAGCAATATTCGAAAACTTCATTCTAATATATGGATGTATGAAAACAGTCATAACAGATATGGGATCCGAGTATAAAAATAATTTATTTCAAGAATTATGTAAGCTTTTAAAAATTGAGCATAAAACCTCAACACANCGCTTCAAAAAATATCGCGGTTTCTTGCTAATTTCAAATACTCGGTGACCAATATTAAAGTGGCTGGCAAAAATATGGAAAGGTAGCAAAATTTAGAGGCTAACCTCATATTCACGCACGCCGCCAATTTACTGTTAAAAATTTTNAGTTTTTGGAAAAACACCTCTGGCTTACGAATTCTTACAAGAAAACATAGTTAGCCCAGTATACAATTATGAGGCCTACGACAAAGAAATAAAATATAGGTTACAAATAGCACAGCAGAGAGCTAAAAGATTAGTGCAATAAGCTAAGCAAAGACAAAAAATTAATTATANGTCAAAGCACGCTTCAAAAAATATCGCGGTTTCTTGCTAATTTCAAATACTCGGTGACCAATATTAAAGTGGCTGGCAAAAATATGGAAAGGTAGCAAAATTTAGAGGCTAACCTCATATTCACGCACGCCGCCAATTTACTGTTAAAAATTTTTCATACACAAACAACTTGTATGGGACTAACCGAAATTGAACGGCTTGCGTATGAAGCTAATATTACATTTACATTGAGCCCAAATGCCTTATTTGGGCAAAAAATCTGAAATGCGAAGCCAAATCAGACATTTCTCCATACAAATTCGTATCTCCAAAATGACGCATTTCAACGCATTTAATCAAAATGACAAAGCAAATGCGTCCAATTTCTGAACTTTTTTATTGAACACACTCAAAAACAAAAGCTCTCCAAAAGCTTTTGTTTGTTTTTGACATTTTGAATTTTAAAATCAAAACAAACTCAACGTAATAAATAAATCTTTGATATTTGCGTATAAAAATTGTTAATTTACGCATAAATTCGCACTTTTTTTTTTCATAAAGCAAAGAATAATTGCCTCCTCTATGTCCAAAATGTGTCAAAACTATAGGCCTGAAGTGTTTGTTTACATTCATTTTGTTTTTGTTTTCCGTTTTCAATTGATGAGAAGGTAAACGAAATGCGAATCAAGCAGTGCAAACGGCTTCAAATGACTGATTTCAAACCACGCATTTGGGGCCAATGAAAATGTAATATAACTCAATTTCCAATTTTTGTTCTGCGTGCCATTTTGATTTGACGTTTCGCTCAATGAAATCATATGCAAACGTACGCAAGCCAATTTCGGGTGACGCAAAAAAAATCCAACGCCGTGCGTACCAAAATGCAATCTGCGAATATTAGGTTAGCCTATTAGCACATAAAAATAATATTCGATTTCAATCGAAAAGATATTAAACATCTTGAAATTATTACACCACATAAAGTTCTTTCTGATACTGATGTATTGGTAAATGATGCAGACATAATTGAATTTCAATTTCGCAATTGAGGCTGAGTGAAGGTAACTTCAAAAACTGTAGCAATAAAGATTTGGGATCAAGTAAGTTTGATTAAAAATGGATTCCGCAGCAGCTGAGCGCAAATTTTTTGATTTAGCATTAATAAAAACTTTTTAGCATTATAAAAAAAATCGTTATAAAAACTGAATTGGCATATTTTCTTGATAAAGAGGAATAAACTCAACTCCACTCAATTTCCCGTTGTAATAAATTGGTTAATTTTTTACCATATGGTCCATTCTTTGGTCCGAAAAATAAATTGGAAATGGCAACCGTGGTTGTGAGCACTAACTTTTCGTTTCGTTTGTTTCCCTATTTCTCTACATGCAATTATTTTGTTTGCGTTAGCTATCGCGAATGCTAGCAGAGAAAAGTTACCGCTCACAAAATGTTCCCGATTGATTTGAATCGTTTGTTTTTCGTTACCATGTATGAGCGAAACTAAACGATATCGAAACGTTTGCTATTGTTTGTTTTCGTACTCTGTATAGACTAGAAGTGTCAAAAGATAAATATCGCTCATACACAGGCTTTACTGATACACTTTGTAAGTCGTTAATATATTGTTAATACATATTGCACTAGTAGATAAATTACCAGACGAACATGTTAGAGAATCCAACCACTAACTGTTATATATCGCAATCAAAATCGAACGGAAATTTCCGAATCGAAGTAAAAAATAATAATGTAGTTCATAAACATGATTCAATAATTAAAGGTTTGCTCACCAGCGACATTAGAATTTTGATACTCCCTTACAAAAGGTTGCACACACACACACCCTACACAGTGCCTTGCTAAGGGAGCCGATTTTGTCAAGAGGGAGCGTTTTCTGAGCAAATAAGTTTCTTAGCATGTTGCTGTATTAAGTGCTTAAATTATGTATAAAAGCATGCTATAAGGGGCTTATCTTTTCCTTAAAGCTTCCCCCAGAGGGCGCAACAGTAAAAGTTTTCACATTTTCTTCTAAACCAATTTTCGCAATTTGATAAACTCCAAATTTATTTTAGACCCATGATTTCTTAGGGAAATCTCGGTTAACTTTCGTAACAGGCAAAAAAAAAACTCATAGATGAGCTCTTTATAATACGGCTCTATACACAATTTTCTTTTTCTAAACCTCCAATTTAGCTCTTACTTAATTAAACTTATACATTTCGTTTCACAGGCTTCAGAACATAAACGCAGCGAGAAAGAAATTGGTGATATTGCTGGTGTACCCGATGTAACAATAAGGCAGTCGTATAAATTGATGTATCCCCATGCATTAAAGTTATTTCCGGAGGATTTCAAATTCACTACCCCTATTGATCAGCTACCACAAATGTAGACATAATGAGCTTTTATAAATCCGAATTAATACCTTAGTAAAGTGGGTCCAAAATAAACATTTGTGAAAAAAATTAGTAAGTAAAGATCATTTATAGAAATACAATTATTTACCTTATAAGTATGAGAAAACCCAACAAACTTGAGAAAATGCGGACAAAACTAAGTTACAGGTGTGGTACTACACCCAGAAAAATGTTTAGTTATAATTAAAAAGATTTGGTTATATTGACCAAGTAACAAAGTTGGATATGGGGAAGTAAATATCTAGTTCACGAACGTCTGCAATTTACTTGAGACTTCTAGTTAGGACAAATGTATATTTGTTAATAATTACAAAACGACTACCTAATTGTTAGTTGAATAAAATCATTGTTGAGCAAATATAAAAAATGCTTTGGTTGATACCAGTTGTCAGTTAATTTTGTGAACTTGCTGTAGGTTTGAATCAGCTAACCGTTTATTATGAAACACAAATGTTCTGAGAGAGCGCTGAGCATTATTTAGGGTTGGCTCATAAGTATGAATATGTTCCGCTCTCAAACCAAATCGTGGTTGCCTCAACTAAGATTTGGTAACTATGACTAAAGCATGTGCTGAAAGAAAGCTTATCTGTATTAGCAGAGCTTAATGACATCCTTTTATGAACCATACGTTAAGTTGAATGGAATTTGTAGAAATATGCTTCAAAAAAAAATTTATTTGCATTTACCAAACCCTTAAACTAAATTAACGATTTGGTAATACCTAGATGAATATTAGAAGCTTTAACATATTTAGTTATAATTACCAACCGATGGTAATAATTCCCCCTTGGTCACAGTTCCCAAATATTGTCAAAATTCGGGAACTAAATATCTTTAGTTGTCGAAACTAATCCTTTTTCTCAGTGTATAATGTGCGCCTAGAGGACCAATTCGCGATGAAAATAATACTTAAGCTTGTTGCACAGAAAACAACATCCCCTATGCCTACCTGAAAAATATTAAGCAAAAGGTGAGATCTGCCAAATTTACTTAAGTAGAAGTGATATGTGTAAAAAGATAATTTATGCTTTTAAGAAATTAAAAGTGTCTGACAACAAAGTATAAACGTTGTTTTAAATTATCATGTACTAACATGTAAAGAAGGTAACAATTATTAACAGCCGTATTAAAGTACTATACATCTTTATTAATAATAATAATATACCGTAGATAATCGAATTGTTTGCTAATTCCAACTTTTAAAATGTCTCCCGGTTCAAACATATCGATTACTTCAGTATAAAGCTGCATTTTGTTAGTATTCGGCAGGTTTCGATATGGAGATAAGAGCATTCTCAGAAATTGTCGAAGAATCTAATCGTGATGTTTTTCGGCTTACATTTTCTCTAAAAACTTAAATTGCTTGTTTTTGGCTTCCTGCGCTTCCACTGAAAGCATATTGATGGGTCAAATGGTCTCATTAATTATATGGCCGTGAATTAATATTTTATGCACTGCGCAAAAAAATATTAGCTGTTTCGAAGCAACCGTTTTTAATTTTAGTGACATGAATTTTAAAGCCACTGGCAATAGTTTGATTAAGTTTTCGTCTATTCCAGTAATGTCTGAGAACACTTAATTTTGGAGAAATCGCCTTGCCGTGTTACCAATACAACTGCTGCCAAATCCAAGCTTTGGCTGGTCAATAATGAGACCAGTTCGCTTTGTAAACTCAATCTTCCTTTTATTTTCTTTGATAACAGTTTCAATCACTACGTCCTTGTTTTACAGGTAATAAATTGTTTGCAACATTTAGTAGAAGTTCAGTCATATGTAGACTAGAAGTGTCAAAAAATAAATATCGCTCATACACACGCTTTACTGATACACTTTGTAAGTCGATAATATATTGTTAATACATATTGCATTAGTAGATAAATTACCAGACGAACATGTTGGAGAATCCAACCACTAACTGCTATATATATCGACATCAAAATCGAACGGAAATGTCCGAATCGAGGTAAAAGATAATGTAGTTCACAGGGTTCGAAAACAAACGAAACATTTCACGAATGATTCGTCCAAAGATACAAAACTTTGCGATCAATTCGAATCGTTTTGTACATGAGCAAAACCAAAACCAGTACCTTTGCAAAGCAAAAGAGTGCAAACAAAGCGATTTATGTTTCGTTCCTTGACGAGCATAGGTAGATCGTTTCAAACGATTCGTTTTCTTACACATTCCATATTATGCTCGATTAAATCAAATTTTCCGGAGGAGAGGAAAGCTGATGAGAGCGACCAATTCGATACAGACAGTGCTCAAAGTACTTCTCAGGCTGCCATAATTTGCAGCGAGGACACAGTAATCGATTAAGATGAAACACTATCTTCTTATTTTCGAAAGAATGTAGGTGAAGTGGCACTGGAACTTGACACATCAACCTTGACAATGTCAGAGGAACCTTTAACTCAGACCAGCGTAAGAGAAATCACTCCGTAGTCAAAAAAGGTTGAGGAATTCGCAGAATGGATGAAACTATCTGCACCTAAAAGCGCTGTTTCACAAATTGCTGCAGTACAGAAGGAGCGAACAGATCTTAAAAGATGATTTCGACAAGTTCAAGACTGAAAAGGAATTAGAAATGGCTGAGAGAAGATTGCAACTTGAAGTAGAAAAGAATTTGAGAATGGAGGAAAGAGCTTTGCTAGAACAAGAACTAGAGAGGGAGAAATTAGCATTAAAAAGGCAGGAGATCCAGAGAGATGAAAGCATCCGTAAACAGGAAATTGAAAAAGACGAGCGCATAGCTAAATACAAAATTGAGTGTAAATATAATTTAAAGAAATAAAAACCAAATGTTTTCTTCCCGCGACAAAAATATTTCACCTCAGCATTTTGAAAAGTGTTAACTATTTATCTTTTGTTTGTTTAACGTTCATTACTTTTATATAAAATTATAGCTCTTTATCTAACAGATACCATACAAATCCAAATTTCAGACCGTACAAAAATTATAAAAATTTCACAAACTTTTCATCTTAACCCCAAGCATTTTAATTTTAATTTATAGAATAATTTTTGGTTTGCAGTTGTAGAGATTATTAAATTCTAGTACAATTAAGAGCAAGTTTGAAGTTGCTAAAAACTCGCATTGATTTTTCATATTTTTTTTACTGACGGTATCACGCATTTTCTTCCATACAAAGTATTTTTTTTATATAGAAAAAGTGCATAACACCGTCAGTAAAAGTATTATCAAAAATCTATGCGCTTTTTTAGCAACTTCAAACTGTCACTTTATTATTAATTTAGAAATACTAATTAAATTACTTGGAATTGGAATGAAAAGTTTTTGCAATTTTTAAAATTTGAAATTTGGACTTTTATGGTTTTTGTTAGATAAGGAGTTGAACTTTAATTAAAAATTAATGAACATTAAAAAATGAAAAGTAGTCAAAACTGGTAAAAACATTGATGTGGTACCTTTTGTCGCGGGCTGTACTTTATATAGAAGAAAATTCGTAGCACAGTCAGCAAGAAAAGCAAAGAAAGCGAGTTTTAATATTCTTCAAATTTGCAATATAATGCTTTTGTAATATAATGCAATGTTCTGTAAAAATATTAAACAATTTTCTAGAAATTCTAAGTAAAATGTTTGAAACCTCGTAATTTTCTAGTTTTAGTACAAAAAAAGTATTTATTTAAATGGCCTTTGTTATTTAATGGCATACACATTTACATAAAAAATTAATGAGCAATAAACAAAAAAAATAGCAAAAACTGGTGAAAATCTCGAATTTCTTTTATTTTGTTGACCTACATATGTACGTTTTAATAAAATTGTTTTTGGGAAATATAAAAAACACATATGTATTTTAATCCAGTGTCCGTAACGTCATTTTGCTCTAAAATATGGCTGGCCACAGATTCCCCTACTTCTGAAGACGCTAATAAAATATTGTGCAAAATACAGCATACAAGAAACCACTCACATGCTTGTCGCTAACTTTCGTTATTGTGTAACCTCATTCGCAGCTGTTTTAGGCTTCCAAAATTTTCTTTGAGGAGTCCAAAACAATGTTCAATTCGAACTCGATATTTACTATGTCGCAAATTAAAGGCTACGCGCTTATTTCGGTCAAGATGTTGTGAATTTTTTCGGTACGGTGTGATGACAGTTTCTGAAAGTGGATATGCGGAATCTCCGGCTATTCATTCTTGGGTTGAGAAAAATTTCGCATTTTCCTTGGAAAGTGCACAAGACCGAAATATTTAGGCATCGTGGGCGCTACCATAATGGCCAACAACTACATTCCGAATTCTAAGGGAATATTAGCAAACCACTTGCGCTTTAATTGAATATGCATGAGTCCCAGTGATCAGACTTCTACCACATTGTGGTAGATCTGCCACTTTTTTGAGCATCTACCTCACAAGGTCTGAAATCTACCACATATTCGCGTTTTTGATAAGTTTTATTTTTGTTCGATATAATTTTCTTAATTTTAACCAACACTAAACACTAACAACAGGCAGAATGGGAGGATAAAATAAACATTAAAATAGTAAATTTTCTCAATATTCAATTTTTCGACAGGAAGCATGGTTTTATTGTGTTAAATTGCAAAATATATGATTTATAAAAAGAATTAAAAGCGAAAATGTGAAAAAACGCCGGTTTTTGTGAAAGTATTAGAAAATTTCAGTGCATCTAAAGTTTCTAAAGCGTTGTTTACTTTTACTTGAGAATTGAGTAGCGGTTTCTGGAACGTGCCACATTTGTCCGCTACATCGTGATGTGATAAAAAGAAAAGCGGGCAGCACTCCGCAAGGTTGCAGAAATCTTTCAAAATATGTTCGAAAAATATCTTGATATGGAAGGAACTGCTTTACACTGTCAAGGAAAAAAATTGCCAAAACTCGACGGAATTTTTAGCAACTTCAATCTTGCACTTTATTGTACTAAAATTAAATTTTCTTGGATTCGAATTAAAATGTTTGCAATTTAGGTGAAACCTTGCAGAATATTTTTAATTGTTGTACAAAGTCTGATTCAAAATCTGAGATCTACCACATTTTTTTTTAGTTGTTGTACAAAGTT